GAGAAAAGCAGTTACCTACAAGAGAGCTCCCATAAGACAATCAGCTGATTTCTCAACAGAACTTTTCAGGCCAGAAAGGATTGGCAATAAATATTCAAAGTGATGAAAAGAACCTACAACCAAGATTACTCTATCCAGCAAAGTTCTCATTTAGAATTGGTCAGATGAAGAGCTTCACAGACAAGGAAAAGCAAAAGGAGTTCATCACCACCAAACCAGCATTACATGAAATGTTAAAGGGTTTAAAAAGAAGAAGAAAACATGAAAATTATGAACAATAAAATTACAATGAACACACATCTATCAACAATTAAATCTAAAAAACAAAATAAATGAACAAGCAGAACAGAAACGGACTTACAGATACAGAGAACATTTTGAAGGCTGCCAGATGGGAGGGGGGTGGGGGATGGGTGAGTAAGGTGGAACGATTAAGAAGTACAAATAGGTTATTACCAAACAGTCACGGGGGTGTAAAGTACAGCAGAGGGAATATAGTCAGTAATATTCTAATAACTATGTATAGTGTCCGATGGCTACAAGAGTTATCAGGATGATCACTTAGTAAGTTATATACTGTCTAATCACTGGGGTATACACCTGAAACTAATATAATATTGTATGTCAACTGTAATTGAAAAATAAAAAATGATTTAAAAATGATTTAGATGAACTCAGACTGCCTACGACTCAGTAAAAAAAAAAAAAAAAAAAAGGATAATGACAGAATAACAATAGTACTCCTAACTTATCAGATAAGAGAATAATTATGATGAATACATTTGAGAATTCACATAGAGGGCTTAATATAGCTACTGACACATTTATAAGCTCTCAAAAAAGTTAACTTTTACTATTATTTTCTAGATTCACTTGCATTTTTAACAGTATATACCAATTTGTTTGTCTAGCACCAAACATTTATAAAACATTTAATATTATATTATGGGCTAAAAAGCATTAACGATATGGAATGTCTATTCTTGTGAAGTTTACAATATAATTTGAGAGACAAAGCATAAAGACTTAAAGTTTATAAACAAAATGTGGCATCAACATACAATGGAATATTATTCAGCTTCAAAAGGAAGGAAATTCTGACATGCTACAACAATAATGAACCTTGAAGGCATTATGCTAAATGAAAAAAAAAAAGCTAAAAAGGACAAATCTTGTAAGAGGTACCCAGAACAGTCAAATTCATACAGACAGAAAGCAGAATGGTGGTTGCCAGAGGTTGGGTGGAGAGGGGAGGAGCAGTTGTTTAATGAGTACAGAGTTTCCGTTTTGGAAGTGAAAAAGTTCGGGAGATGAATGGTGGTGATGGGGGCACCAAAAAAATGTGAATGTGCTCAATGCTATTAAACTGTATACTTAGAAATGATTACAATGGTAAATTTCATGTTATGTATATCTTACCACAGTAAAAAAGGTTTAAAACTTAAATATTCATGTAGGGAAAATTAAATTTCATCACTACAATGTGCCAGATAAACCAGTAATTTATAAATTATCAAATGCCATTTTAACTTGATTAATAAAGTGTACCCATTTATTTTTTGAATAAGTAATACATTTGCATTGTACAAAAATAAAAAATACAAAGTGATATATAGAAAAAAAAATCTTATTTTAGCCACTCAGCTCCTTTTCCTAAAGACAACCCCATTACCAGTAACATATATATATATTCTACCAGATATTCTATCATCTATCTATCTATCATCTATCTATCAATCTTCAATAACTATATTCATATACTGTATACAAAATGTTGCAACTTTCTTTGACAGCACATTAAATGTTCTTTTTAAAGAGCTATCTAGTACATACCATAAATATAGTTATGGTATGTACTATATACCCTTAGTGAGAAGCTAGAGAGGGTTCCCAGTCTTGCTATTTCCGGAAGTTTCAAAGAATAATCTAGCACATATGTCATTTTGTTAATTGTGACCATATCTGCTATATAAATTCTTTGAGGGAGGGTCACAGGCTTTTCAAATGATTCAGATTATAAGTCCCTAACTAGGCAGATTTCACCAGAGGTATTGGAGTTAGTCACTTTATCCAAAAACTTGGAAACATCTTTGTATCATTTTCTTTGGCACCCATCACTCACTAAGTCTTGATAATTTTATCTCCTCAGTATCTCTTCTGTCATCCCTTCCCATTTCCCATTCCTCATATAGGTGTGTGTGTGTGTGTGTGTGTGTGTGTGTGTGTGTGTGTGTGTGTGTTCATATAGTTTAATTTGCTTGGGAAGGTTAAAATGAACATAAAATACATAAAAAATATTCAATTCTCTCGATGAATCTTATAAAATCTCTGAAAATAATGAAGCCTCACATTTATTTCTTTTGGATCCCAAGCCACATTGTGAAACACTTGGATTGGTGACATACAATCTCCCATTAGCTATCTTCAATAGCCTATTGCTAAAATTTAGTGCAAACCCTGGGTGGTCTTACATTGGGCTGGTGAGTGGACAATTCTAATTCAGATTAGCGAGCCACCAAAACCCCACAGAATGTGACTCTAATGGTAACTATAACAACCCTCTTCCCAAAGAAGATTGTTCAGTTTACGAAGCAGTCCCACAAAAACACACATATATATAAAACTTGGAATTCTTAGGAAAATAAGCAACCCAATTTCACTCAGTTGGACAGTCAGCAAGTTAGTGATTTTGCGTTTGATCCTCATATGGTACATCAATCATGGCAATTTTCTCTCTCTCCATTTCAGGTAAAACCACTACTTCCCATGCAACATGTCATTACCCTCACAATAGGATCTGCTTAGTAATAGAGTCCTCATGTAGGCTTTTAATATTTCTTCATGTCTGATGTTTGGTCCTCAACACACTCTCCTGAGAGAAGAATTTGCTCAGTCACTTTTATGCTACCTAATACATCCAGAATTAGGTCTAATGTCTCCATTGTAGCCAACAAGGCTCACCTTAATTTGGTTCTTGTACTTTCCCTCTCTAGCCTTCTCTACCAACTTTACCCTGCTTGCTTTTATGATGTACAATAGTTTACAGTTTCTGGCCTCTATGCATTTTCTCTCATTGTCTTCTCAGCCTGGAATACCTTCATCCATTTCCCTTACTTTATCAATGTGGGAAGTCTTGATCTCTTTATGCAAGAGGAGGAACCTCCTTTTTGTGATCTGCAGATCTGCATTCATCTTCCATGATGATTGCTATTCTCTACTGAAACTATTTTTTTAAAGTAGGCTGAAATAATGGTGGGAGTGGTCTTTTTCCTTTCTAGCTCTAGCATCCAGCAGTGTTTGAAGTCATGTGGTATGCACTCAATAAAATTTCTTTAGTTGAATTTAACTAGATCTTGGGGAAAAGGGGTAGAGTTATTCGTTCATTCCTATGTTTATTGAGTGGCTATTAGGTGCAAGATTATGTTCTAGGCAGTGGGATTATAACCAAGAAGAAAACCCAAGGACTACTTTTGGCCTAGTACAAGAGATGGGGCAACGTAAACATACAATTACTAGAGGCCCAATGCATGAAATCTGTGCAAGAGTAGGCCTTCCTTCGCCCGGCTGCCAGCACCGGCTTCTTTCTGGCACCCGGGACCCAGCTTCCCTCGCAGCCCCGGCTTCCTCTGGAAGGACGTCCAGTCTAATTAGTATATTACCCTTTTATTATTATAGATAATTCACTGGGTGGATTACAGTGGCTCCCAGGTCACAGTTCAGATTCTTTCATGAGCAAAGGGTGACACTTTAATTCGAGGAAATTGCACTAGGAAAAGACATTTATAAAATAAGGCCATTACTCCAAATCACTGTGAAACCCAGAGTCAGACATAAAACTCAAGATTTCTGACTTTCTTTTTTTAAAATATATTTTTATTGATTTCAGAGAGGAAGGGAGAGGGAGAGAGAGAGAGAAACATCAACGATGAGATAGAATCATTGTTAGGCTGCCTCCTGCACGCCCCTTATTGGGGATGAGCCTGCATCCCAGGCATGTGCCCTTGACCAGAATGGAACCTGGGACGCCTCAGTCTGCAGGCCGACACTCTATCTACTGAGCCAAACCAGCCAGGGCCTGACTTTCTGTTTATGGCTCATGGGCTCCACATTTTGAAGTAGAGACGCTTTTCTGGGGAACAGAAGGCCAAATACAGTGTCTTGGGGAAAGAATATAAAGTGCCGTAAGGCATGTAAGACCACCAGGTCAGAATCAGTATACTCCATGAAAGTTCTCTTTCTGTGCTAAACTGCCTTACAGTTTGGCTGCTAAACTGCCTCCTAAACATTAAAAAACAAAAAACAAAAATGAAAAAACTTGCTTGGTGTTAAATGACCTATATTAAAATTTAATCTACCATCGTTCTTTCTCTATCCAGTGGTTCTCAACCTTCTGACCTTTTAAATACAGTTGCTCATGGTGTTACCCAACCATAAAATTATTTTTGTTGCTACTTCATAACTGTAATGTTGCTACTGTTATGAATCGTAATGTAAATATCTGATATGCAGGATGGTCTTAGGCGACCCCTGTGAAAGGGTCCTTCGACCGCCAAAGGGGTCGCGACCCACAGGTTGAGAACCGCTGATTATTAACCTCTTTTCACAAAAGGTTGAGGAAGCTAGAAAACACAACGAAAAGAGCAGGTTCTTTGGGAGCCAGGAAAGCTGGATTCATCACAGAGGTCAGTCATTACCTGGGCAGTAACTTGGGCAAGCACTTAAACTTCCGGTTTTCTCTTTTGTAAAATAAGATGTAATAATAAATGAATCGGAAGAAGATGTGTCTGTAAAGCCCTTACCTTAACACAGTGACTGATACATAGCAAGAGCTCAGAAGTTAGCTCTTTAGCGATCCTAAGAACCCGATGCCCTGAGGTTGTACTTTTACCGCGGCAACCGGAGGAAACGTAAACGTAAACCTCGCTGAAGGGAATCTAACCAGAAGTCGCGCTCCAGCAGTGAGGCAATTTGGTCCTTGCGGGCCACCGTCGCCGGGCATGCGCAGTGGGCGTGGCGGGACGTCAGTATCATGGCGAGCTCCATCTGAAGTCTGCGCGGTCCGAGAGAGGCGATCCTCATTTAAGACTGGTTTGTTATTTCGCGACTCTTGGGTAAGGGGGTGGATGGGTCCGTGTGGGACAGAGGTTGGCACGAACTCCTTTCATGTCGGAGCCTTATTTCCCCAATTGCAGTCTTTCCCTGGCTGCTTGATGGCTTATTTCGCAGTTAAAAGGGGGACTTGCCAGGTGGAAGGAGGGAACAGAGAGGCTGGAAGTCCTGCCCGAAGTGAGGACAGGGTCGTTGGCCTCGGGGGCCGCAGGGCTGTAGGGAGTTTTTAAGGGACCTCGGCCCTACCGTCAAGATGAGCTGCATTCGTTCTCCCACTGTCTGCATCAGTGAATTGGTGGGATGGCAGGAGGCTGTCGCAGTAGCTTCCACAGAGCTGTGTCTCATTAAGGATTTAAACCGAAGTTGGTCATCGGAGTAGGTGACTTGTATCTTCCCTTTTCCTTCTCGTTTACTTATGAAACCAGTCCGGAACTGGGGCCGACACGTGTCTCGGATGGAAGGTGGTCTGGATGCCTGCTTCATTGCCTTAGTTGTAGCTGTTTTGTAGTTGTTGGTCTCGCTTGAATCACGCAGACGTGTTATAATGCAGGATGGTGTTTATCACTGTGGCCAGGCGCTGGGTCTCAGTCGTGGCAAATGTGGCAGATGTCAGCACACTGTCCCCGATCAGTAAGAATTTGGAAGTGGCATTAACCTTGCTTTGTAAGACAGTCTTTTATGGAGGCTGATCTCTTTTAGGTAATTTTAAAGAGTTCTTACTGTGGTTTTGTGAACTTGTCAGCTTGCTTTTTCTAATCATTTTTTTATTTTCCAGACTCATCTTTCAAGAGGATTTGAGACTAATTGCAGATAATCAAGGTACTCATTTATTTTAAACCTTTAATGTTTGAGGGACATGTTACGCATTATAATGCGCAAAAAGATAGCCTAAGGTCTTAGTAATTTTGTCACCATCATTGTAGGGAAATGCTATGATGTCCATGTCACTAAATCCAAGAAACGCTTTCATTCATTTTACATAACCTTTTATCTGTGTTAAGTTGCACTGACTGTGCCCACTGCTTTGACGTGTTCTCTGCCTTTGCCTTCTACAACTAACTGATTTGCTCCTTTTCTGGCAACTGCATCTTAGTTTTCATTAAAAGCTGGTTCTCTTCTTTTGGCAGTTAAATTTGGAGTTTCTCAAGATATGGTCCTGTACCCCTTTCTCGTCTCTGTTCTCTCTCTCTGCGTGTTCTGATCCACAGTGTTATTCTCTGCCTTTTGATTCTAGTCATCCGAGTGGGTGTGAAGTGATACCTCATGGTTCTGATTGGCATTCCCTGGTAGCTAATGACGTTGACACCTTTTCACGTGCTTATTGGCCATTTGTATATCTTCGTCGGATAAATGTCTATTCAAATCCTTGCCCATATTTTACACTGGGCTATTTGTCTTTCCATTATTTAGTTGTTGTTTTTTTAATGTGTTCTTTTCAGAGACAGCAAGAGCTGTCCCAATAGAACTTTTCTTGTTTTGAGGCAAACCATTCAGAGACCCAATTTTCCACTTCTTTGTATGTTTTGAAGTGCTGCTCAGAAAGTGCGTGTGCCATCGATCAGAACGAGTGGTAACCTGAAGGAGCAAGGTCTGGTGAATACAGCGGGTGGGTTAATACTTCCCAGGCAAGATCTTTTAATGTGTCTTTATCTGGTTTTGAAGTGCGTGATGGTGCATCATCATGAAGCAAAATTACTTTGCTGTGTCTTCTGGCACATTCTGGTCGTTTCATGATCAAAGCATGGTTCAGATTGATTATTTGTTGTTGGTAGCGATCAGTATTAACAGTTTCACATGGTTTTAGAAGCTCATAATACACCACACCTTCCTGATCCCACCAAACACAAAGCATTGTCTTTCCAAAGAGATTTGACCTTGCAGTCGATGTTGATGGTTGACCTGGATCAGCCCATGATTTTGTGCACTTGGGATTCTCAAATTAATCCACTTTTTATAGCCCGTCACAATTCCGATGCAAAAACGACTTTCTTTCTTGCCATTGAAGCAACATTTTACTGATGACTTTTCAGTTTTCCATTTGTCTTTTGTTCAGTTGATGTGGCACCCATTTTTCTTCCTTTAAAATCTTTCCTGTTGCTTGTAAATGATCAGAGATTGTTTGCTGAACAACGTTTAATCTTTCTACAAGTTGTTTTTGAGTTTGACATGCATCTTCATCCAATAATGCTTGTAATTGTTGGTCTTCAAACTTTTTCAGTTCACCTGGACATTCTTTGTCTTTCGCATCAAAATCATCACTTTCAAAGCATTTAAACCAGCATTCACAAGTATCTTGAGATGAAGCATATTCACATAAGCTTCCTGAAGTATTCAGCAGCACTTTTCTTCAAAATGAATTATAACTTCCTGCAAATGCTCTTTTTTTTTGGCACGAAATTCGACATTTTTAAGTGTAAAAACATCTATGATGTTAACACCTTTAGCAAATTTGACATATGAAGTTTTGAAGCTTGTCAATACAACAAAATAGCATACATATCAAATCGCATCTATATCAACATATGTGTAACTTCATCTATTGAAAAAAATCCGCATTATTAACCAGTACACCTGGTATGAAAACTGGTTTCACAGCTGTGGCTACACACATGAGAATTACTGGAAAGTTTAAAAAAATACTGATGCCCAGGCTTGGTTTACAGAGATTGATTTAACTGATGTGGGGCTCAGTTGTTTGTAATTTTCAAAAGCCCCTCAGGTGAATACAATGAGTACTCAAGACTGAGAAGTTATGCTGTAGGACAGTGGTTCTCAACCTTGGCTGCACATAAGAATCACCTGGGAATCTTTTTAAAATCCTGATTTCTGGGATTTTAAAAAGATTCCCAGGTGATTCTAATGTGCAGCCAAGGTTGAGAACCACTGCTGTAGGAGAATAGTGGTTCTCGATCAGGTGGGAAGTGGAATCACCTGGGCAGGTTTTACGTTAATATCCCTAAGTTCCACTCTTGGAGATTCTAGTTCAGAACGGGATCTGGGTATCTATATACGGTACATAAAAGGCTAATATGCAAAGTGTCCTCTCGGGAGTTCGACTGGGAGACTGGGAGTCCCATCACTTGCTATGATGTGCGCTGACCACCAGGGGACGGCGTGGAATGAAGGAAGGCCCTGGCTGGCAGCCGGAAAGTCCCAATCGGCCCTGATTGCCAACCAGGCCTAGGGACCCTACCCATGCATGAATTTCATTCACTGGACCTCTAGTCTCTCTCTCTCTCTCTCTCTCTCTCTCTCTCTCTCTATATATATATATATATATATATGGCTAATATGCTAAGTGTCCGTCCGTCTGGTAGCTATTATGTGAACTGACCACTAAGGGGCAGACACAACACAGAAGCTGCCAAGCTGCAGTGACTTGGCAGAGGCGGTTCTTGGGTGACGCACCCCAAAACCAGAGAGGAGGGAGTCCGATTCCTCATGGGGCTGCACGATTCCACCTTCGGCTGTGGGTTACATTGTTGCTGGGGCACTGTTGACCCTGAATCTGGTTTATAGCACACTTGTGTTGTGTTCCACACCTTGTATGACAGCAACTTTGCAGAGTGTCCTCTCACACTCTGGGACCCCTTGGGGGATGTTGGAGAGCCAGTTTCAGCCCGATCCTCATAGGCCAGGCTGAGGAACCCCACCTGCCAGAGGGACCCCGTTCACTCCGCAGATGCCCCTCGAGCCATGGTGCTACCCCAGGTGGGGATGGCCTGGGAGGGACCGAGAGAGGTTGACTCCAGGGCATGTCCAGCCCGTCTCGCCCAGTCCCACCCCGCCAGCCACCTTCTAATTTCCTTTCAATGTGTACAAATCTGTGCACTGGGTCACTAGTCTATATATATAAAAGCCTAAGTGACCATTACAACGGAATGACCAGTCAACCAGTCGCTATGATGCGCACTGACCACCAGGGGGCAGATGCTCAACGCAGGAGCTGCCCCATGGTGGTCAGTGTGCTCCCATGGGGGAGCACCACTTAGCCAGAAGCCAGGCTCATGGCTGGCGAGCACAGCTGTGGCAGTGGGAGCCTCTCCCAACTCCGCAGCAGCATTACTGAGTGGCGGGAGCAGGTGCAGCGGGCTGGGATGAGCACAAGCAGCAGGGCACCTGCCCCTGTTTTGGCTCTTTCCTGGCCGCCTGCTGCTTGGCGCACTGCTACACCCCCCAAGGGGTCCCGGATTGTGAGAGGGTGCAGGCCAAATTTTGTGCACCAGGCCTCTAGTTTTATTATAAAACCTCCTCTAATAAATCACCTATGTAGGTTACAGTACTCTAGGACACTGTATTCTCTCTTCTTTGCATATTAGCCTTTTATGTACCGTATATAGATACCCAGATCCCATTCTGAACTAGAATCTCCAAGAGTGGAACTTAGGGATATTAATCCTCACTCAAGAATATGTTTTAGAGAAGGGTGTAGGAAGAGAGGGAGGGAAAGGGGGAGAGAGAAACATTGATGTGAGAGAGAAACATCGATCAGTTACCTCCCATACCCACCCTCACCAGGGAATGAACCCAAAATCTAGGTATGTGCCCTGACTGGAATCAAACCTGCAACCTTTTTGGTATATGGGACAATACTCCAACCAACTGAGCCACCCTGCTAGGCCTTCTTTTTATCATTTTCAATGTCTCCCTTTTCTCTGATTCTGTTTTTACTAGTGATCCGGTGCACAAAATTTGTGCACATTAAAGGGAATTAATTAGAGGAAATATTTTAATATTGCTATTTGCCCTTTCTCTATAAAAGAAGTGCCAGATATGAAAGAAAATTAGTAAAATGTATATGAAAATCTTCCTCCTGTCAGAGTCTGGGGCATGCCATGGGAACCAGAGTCAAGTCCCCACCCACCCACGTGCGCCTCAAAATCGTGTGAGACCCAGACCTGGTCGGCCCCACCCCCATTGGGCTAGATCCAGACCTGGCCAGCCACACCCCCATCAAGTCCCGCCGGGTTGGGGGTGCGGCCTCAGGTCCCCCATCAAGCCCTGCTGGGCAGGGGGTGTAGCCTGAGGTCCCCCGGCCTGGCGTCAGGGCGGGGACCATGGCCTCAGGTCTTCCAGCCCGGTGCTGGGCAGGGGGTGCAGCCTGGGTTACCCGCTCAAGCCCCGCTGGGCGGGGGGTGCACCCTGAGCTTCCCCCGTCAAGTCCCGCTGGGTGGGGGGCACAGCCTGAGGTCCCCTGTCAAGCCCCGCTGGGGCATGGGGTGCAGCCTCAGGTCCCCTGCCCTGGCCCAGTGCCATGCAACCTCAGGTCCCTGCTGATTGCTTGTTAAGGCTCGTTAGGGGAACTCAGCCTCCGCTATGGGCACCATTATGACCAAGATGGGCAGCCATCTTGACCATTATGGTGTGATGGTCAATTTGCATATTCCTGCTTTACTAGATAACATTCCCTTCATCATATCTAATTTCTTCTTTCTTTGAAAAACACCTTTATATTGTCCTCTTGTTCCATTTAACTATTATTTTGCTTTCCTTTTGTTCTCAAATTTTCATTTTCTTGTCTTTTTTTTTTTTTTTTTTTTTAATATATTTTATTGATTTTTTACAGAGAGGAAGGGAGAGAGATAGAGAGTCAGAAACATCGATGAGAGAGAATCATCGATCGGCTGCCTCCTGCACATCCCCTACTGGGGATATGCCCGCAACCCAGGCACATGCCCTTGACCGGAATCGAACCTGGGACCTCTCAGTCCGCAGGCCGATGCTCTATCCACTGAGCCAAACCGGTTTCGGCAAATTTTCATTTTCTTATTGCTCACTTATTTAACAATTTCTGGAGGCTAACACTTCCTTCTACCTGT